AAGAAAAGTTAGAAAAAAAAGTTAGTTTAAGAAAGTCATCGCAGTATTGATGGCATTAGAGCCTACAAAAGAATATCTCAAGATCAAGAAAAAGAAGTTTCATCAGTATTAAACAAAGAATATGAACGAAAGGTTGCACTAATTGAAGATAAGGAAAACAGTTACGAGCCACCACCAAGCAAAAAAAGATCAACTGCAGATACTGTTACATTTACCCTCTCTAACTGCTCAAATATTACTATAAACTATTAAAACAATACCAAATAACACAAAACTATAATTTAAAATACACATGTAATCAATTAATCGTATTATTTAATTTACCGGGAAATTATTTATTCAACCTCCCGGGAATTTACTTATTCAACCTCCCGGGCTACTTATTCAACCTCCCGGGCTACTTATTCAACCTCCCGGGAAATTATTTATTAACCTCCCGGGAAATCAGAGGTAAGTTAGTTATTTATGAACCTACAACCAAGCAATCTGATTGGTCAATTACAACTAGGCATGGTAGAATTATGATTTAAACCATTCATCACCGTACATGCAGCATTGTTCTATAATAGCAGCCATAATGGATACTTACTTCCTATCTTAGTCTCGCCCCGCCGAAGGGGCGGGGTGAGACTATTCCTATCTTTCCTATGGTCTTTAATCATCTTTCAAATATCATTATTTGAAAGTAAATGTTTATAATTATTATTTATTTTACTTGCTCATGTCAGACCCCTCAATGAACACTTGTCTCTTGACTCATGCAGCTGTTTCAGTTAATAGAAAATTTAATAGTGTTGTTTAAAGGCTAGTTTGACTGTCAATCTTCAAAATTTCTTTATTATTTTTTCAAAGTTGGCAATGCATGTAGATTTAAATTACAATGCATGAATCTCATTTCCTGTAATAAATTCCCACTATTATTCGTAATAATAAATTAATAATAGAATTTTCCTTTTAAAGGGCTTGACAGCCTCTACTATTTTTAGGTGTTTGCAAGTCACGTGTGTCTACTATTGGTCTAGTCGTCGTGTTTGTAGTTTCACTAGTTTGTACCTCGTCCTGTACAGAGAAAAGGCCCAAAAAAGCGCGTATTGTTTCTCCCTTTTTTTCTCTCTGCAGTCCGATATGCAGGTGAGTTAGTCCGACTCTAATATTTATTAATTTGCAGTGTTGATAAACATGCCTTTTGAAGCTCTCTTTACATGTCTATAGCGCTTGAGAAAAGCCGCGTAGATACTAGCCTGAACATAGATACAGTATATATAGTGTATAACAGACCAATTCTACTTACCAAAATTCATTTTATCCCTCTGCAATCAACCGATGGAACCACATTTACCCTCCTCTCTGAAACTTACTCTTTCCCCCTCGCATCTTAAATTTAAAATAGATAACCACATATGACCACCTCTTTATTCCCTATCACTTACTAATTTTCTTACAATTAGCTATGCTATTATTTTATTCAAAAAATAAGCCTATTTCCGTGTTTATTTCCTTATAGGCATTGATGCATACTTAATTAAGTGTGAGAAAAACAATAGGGAGACCCTATATAGTACTAATTATAAAAGTACAATTAGCTGA